AACACTTCACAGCCTGAGTGGGTTAACACCACACAGCCAGGGTAGGTTAACACCACACAGCCAGGGTAGGTTAACACCTCACAGCCAGGGTGGGTTAACACCTCACAGCCAGGGTGGGTTAACACCACACAGCCAGGGTGGGTTAACACCACACAGCCAGGGTGGGTTAACACCACACAGCCAGGGTAGGTTAACACCACACAGCCAGGGTAGGTTAACACCTCACAGCCAGGGTGGGTTAACACCACACAGCCTGGGTGGTTTAACACCTCACAGCCAGGGTGGGTTAACACCTCACAGCCAGGGTGGGTGAACACCTCACAGCCAGGGTGGGTTAACACCACACAGCCAGGGTGGATTAACACCACACAGCCAGGGTGGGTTAACACCACACAGCCAGGGTAGGTTAACACCACACAGCCAGGGTGGGTTAACACCACACAGCCAGGGTGGGTTAACACCTCACAGCCAGGGTGGGTTAACACCACACAGCCTGGGTGGTTTAACACCTCACAGCCTGGGTGGTTTAACACCTCACCGCCTGGGTGGGTTAACACCTCACAGCCTGGGTGGGTTAACACCTCACAGCCAGGGTGGGTTAACACCACACAGCCAGGGTGGGTTAACACCACACAGCCAGGGTGGGTTAACACCACACAGCCAGGGTGGGTTAACACCACACAGCCAGGGTGGGTTAACACCACACAGCCAGGGTGGGTTAACACCACACAGCCAGGGTGGGTTAACACCTCACAGCCAGGGTGGGTTAACACCACACACCCAGGGTGGGTTAACACCACACAGCCAGGGTGGGTTAACACCACACAGCCAGGGTGGGTTAACACCACACAGCCAGGGTGGGGTTAACACCTCACAGCCAGGGTGGGTTAACACCACACAGCCAGGGTGGGTTAACACCACACAGCCAGGGTGGGTTAACACCACACTGCCAGGGTGGGTTAACACCACACAGCCAGGGTGGGTTAACATCACACAGCCAGGGTGGGTTAACACCTCACAGCCAGGGTGGGTTAACACCTCACAGCCAGGGTGGGTTAACACCTCACAGCCAGGGTGGGTTAACACCACACAGCCAGGGTGGGTTAACACCACACAGCCAGGGTGGGTTAACACCACACAGCCAGGGTGGGTTAACACCTCACAGCCAGGGTGGGGTTAACACCACACTGCCAGGGTGGGTTAACACCACACAGCCAGGGTGGGTTAACACCACACAGCCAGGGTGGGGTTAACACCTCACAGCCAGGGTGGGTTAACACCACACAGCCAGGGTGGGGTTAACACCACACTGCCAGGGTGGGTTAACACCTCACAGCCAGGGTGGGGTTAACACCACACAGCCAGGGTGGGTTAACACCACACAGCCAGGGTGGGTTAACACCACACAGCCAGGGTGGGGTTAACACCACACAGCCAGGGTGGGTTAACACCACACAGCCAGGGTGGGTTAACACCACACAGCCAGGGTGGGTTAACACCACACAGCCAGGGTGGGTTAACACCACACAGCCAGGGTGGGTTAACACCACACAGCCAGGGTGGGTTAACACCACACTGCCAGGGTGGGTTAACACCACACAGCCAGGGTGGGTTAACACCTCACAGCCTGGGTGGGTTAACACCACACAGCCAGGGTGGGTTAACACCACACTGCCAGGGTGGGGTTAACACCTCACAGCCAGGGTGGGTTAACACCACACTGCCAGGGTGGGTTAACACCACACAGCCAGGGTGGGTTAACACCTCACAGCCTGGGTGGGTTAACACCACACAGCCAGGGTGGGTTAACACCACACAGCCTGGGTGGGTTAACACCACACAGCCAGGGTGGGTTAACACCACACAGCCAGGGTGGGGTTAACACCACACAGCCAGGGTGGGTTAACACCACACAGCCAGGGTGGGTTAACACCTCACAGCCTGGGTGGGTTAACACCACACAGCCAGGGTGGGTTAACACCACACTGCCAGGGTGGGGTTAACACCTCACAGCCAGGGTGGGTTAACACCACACTGCCAGGGTGGGTTAACACCACACAGCCAGGGTGGGTTAACACCTCACAGCCTGGGTGGGTTAACACCACACAGCCAGGGTGGGTTAACACCACACAGCCTGGGTGGGTTAACACCACACAGCCAGGGTGGGTTAAGCCAGGGTGGGGTTAACACCACACAGCCAGGGTGGGTTAACACCACACAGCCAGGGTGGGTTAACACCTCACAGCCAGGGTGGGTTAACACCACACAGCCAGGGTGGGTTAACACCTCACAGCCTGGGTGGTGGGTTAACAACAGCCAGGGTGGGTTAACACCACACAGCCAGGGTGGGTTAACACCACACAGCCAGGGTGGGTTAACACCACACAGCCAGGGTGGGTTAACACCACACAGCCAGGGTGGGTTAACACCACACAGCCAGGGTGGGTTAACACCACACAGCCAGGGTGGGTTAACACCACACAGCCAGGGTGGGTTAACACCACACAGCCAGGGTGGGTTAACACCACACAGCCAGGGTGGGTTAACACCACACAGCCAGGGTGGGTTAACACCACACAGCCAGGGTGGGTTAACACCACACAGCCAGGGTGGGTTAACACCACACAGCCAGGGTGGGTTAACACCACACAGCCAGGGTGGGTTAACACCACACAGCCAGGGTGGGTTAACACCAACACCAGCCAGGGTGGGTTAACACCACACAGCCAGGGTGGGTTAACACCACACAGCCAGGGTGGGTTAACACCACACAGCCAGGGTGGGTTAACACCACACAGCCAGGGTGGGTTAACACCACACAGCCAGGGTGGGTTAACACCACACAGCCAGGGTGGGTTAACACCACACTGCCAGGGTGGGTTAACACCACACAGCCAGGGTGGGTTAACACCACACAGCCAGGGTGGGTTAACACCACACAGCCAGGGTGGGTTAACACCACACAGCCAGGGTGGGTTAACACCACACAGCCAGGGTGGGGTTAACACCACACAGCCAGGGTGGGGTTAACACCACACAGCCAGGGTGGGTTAACACCACACAGCCAGGGTGGGTTAACACCACACAGCCAGGGTGGGGTTAACACCACACAGCCAGGGTGGGGTTAACACCACACAGCCAGGGTGGGTTAACACCACACAGCCAGGGTGGGTTAACACCACACAGCCAGGGTGGATTAACACCACACAGCCAGGGTGGGTTAACACCACACAGCCAGGGTTGGTTAACACCACACAGCCAGGGTGGGTTAACACCACACAGCCAGGGTGGGTTAACACCTCACAGCCAAGGTGGGTTAACACCACACAGCCAGGGTGGGTTAACACCACACAGCCAGGGTGGGTTAACACCACATAGCCAGGGTGGGTTAACACCACACAGCCAGGGTGGGTTAACACCTCACAGCCTGGGTGGGTTAACACCACACAGCCAGGGTGGGTTCTGAAGTGTTTCAAAATAATTCTGTAAGTTGTTGTTTAAGTAAAATTAATTTTCTAGGAAATTTTAAACTGCGTTGTGAATGGCCAGTTGAAGTGAACATTTTTCTGGCGGCCACAATGTTTGGGAATGAGCCGGTGACGGTGTTGTTGAGACAGTCTTAGACAGACAGTCTGTTTAGACAGTCTTAGTCAGACAGATAGTCTGTTTAGACAGTCTTAGTCAGACAGACAGTCTGTTTAGACAGTCTTAGTCAGACAGACAGTCTGTTTAGACAGTCTTAGTCAGACAGACAGTCTGTTTAGACAGTCTTAGTCAGACAGACAGTCTGTTGAGACAGTCTTAGTCAGACAGACAGTCTGTTGAGACAGTCTTAGCCAGACAGACAGTCTGTTGAGACAGTCTTAGCCAGACAGACAGTCTGTTGAGACAGTCTTAGTCAGACAGACAGTCTGTTGAGACAGTCTTAGCCAGACAGACAGTCTGTTGAGACAGTCTTAGCCAGACAGACAGTCTGTTGAGACAGTCTTAGTCAGACAGACAGTCTGTTGAGACAGTCTTAGTCAGACAGACAGTCTGTTGAGACAGTCTTAGCCAGACAGACAGTCTGTTGAGACAGTCTTAGTCAGACAGACAGTCTGTTGAGACAGTCTTAGCCAGACAGACAGTCTGTTGAGACAGTCTTAGCCAGACAGACAGTCTGTTGAGACAGTCTTCCTACCCCAGTTTCCTCAATACTCTTTGTAACATAAGTGTTTACATTATTATTATTATATAACCAGCAACATTTTGGACCGCTTACTGCTCGCATATATTACCCTGGGACCTCAGACTTATATTCCTTGAGACCTTGTGAGTGCCCTGGTGAGTGTCCTGGTGTCTTGGTGAGTGCCCTGGTGAGTGTCCTGTTGAGTGTCCGGTGAGTGTCCTGGTGAGTGTCCTGGTGAGTGTCCTGGTGTCTTGGTGAGTGCCCTGGTGAGTGTCCTGGTGAGTGTCCGGTGAGTGTCCTGGTGAGTGTCCTGGTGAGTGTCCTGGTGAGTGTCCTGGTGAGTGTCCTGGTGAGTGTCCTTGTGAGTGTCCTGGTGAGTGTCCTGGTGAGTGTCCTTGTGAGTGTCCTTGTGAGTGTCCTGGTGAGTGTCCTGGTGAGTGTCCTGGTGAGTGTCCTGGTGAGTGTCCTTGTGAGTGTCCTGGTGAGTGTCCTGGTGAGTGTCCTTGTGAGTGTCCTTGTGAGTGTCCTGGTGAGTGTCCTGGTGTCCTGGTGAGTGTCCTGGTGAGTGTCCTGGTGAGTGTCCTGGTGAGTGTCCTGGTGAGTGTCCTGGTGAGTGTCCTGGTGAGTGTCCTGGTGAGTGTCCTGGTGAGTGTCCTGGTGAGGATGGAGGCTTGTACCGTAGGCCACATGGAAGCCGTCTGACTCGGTATGACAGTTATTATAATATTATTCCAAGCAGAGGCTTTTGGGAAGAGTTTAATGGTATGTAATTAGGAAACAGCACAATTATCACCTCAAGAAAGTCATGTGTAAGGGAAATAAAAAACAGATCTTTGGCAAAAAGGAATAAATATTAGACGATGACCACAGATAATATACTTAACATATACAGACATCAATATACTTAACATATACACACACGAACCACAATATATTTTTGTTCATGGTCATACATGAAATGGAAAAATATATATATTTGACCATTTTATACTATTAGTAAACATGAAATATCTATAACTATCTTTCATAGAAAGTACAAATAGTAATTACCATTACAATATAGTTATATAGACTGGAGCTGGGCAGAAAACTGCCTACAAGTTTAGCTTGTACTATACAAACGTTTCTGACATGCTGGCTACTGCCATGGGTATGACACGCCTGCCTATTACGGCCTACCAGGTAGCCAGCCCAACCTCCAGTAATGACAGTACTTTGAGCAGCTTGTTCACACCAATGAAGCTCGATTGTTGCACCCCCCCACCCAAAAAAAAAGTTCACGTTATGTATTAGTGAATTGTGCCAAATAACATAGTAAAACAATGGAAAACAAAAGAACCTAACCTTACAGCAATCCTAGACCTAATATACGCTATCTTAGACCTAATATAGTACATATATGTGCTATACTAGACCTAGGAATGCTTAAGGTTTGAGTTTTGGCTTTTTTCTTGACCTCTCATAAAGATTAATTAAATTTTCTATAAAAAAAAACCGTGAACACTGTTGGCTATAATAGTCCAGTTTTGTACTTTCGAGCAAATAGTTGTTATAAGAAATATTATTTTAGGAGGCTTGGGCTGGCTTATGACAGCTGAGGCGGCGCCACAGGTCCGTACACGGCCTGCGGCAGGCCACTCGCCCTCACCTGGGTAGGTCCGGTAGGCCGCGGAGTCATACCTTCACCAGAACACACGCTACATTCCTAAATAATAAACATTAAAAAGCAAACTCTTCGACACAATGACACAGAGATGATGTATTGATCTGGCAAGAAGAGGAGCTCCTGAGGCTGTGCTGGACCATCACTGGCGGTGAGGGAATGTGTTGGGTGGTGAGAGTAGACGGGTGAGGATTGCCTGGCAGCCTTAAGGAGACGGGTGAGGACTGCCTGGCAGCCTTAAGGAGACGGGTGAGGACTGCCTGGCAGCCTTAAGGAGACAGGTGAGGACTGCCTGGCAGCCTTAAGGAGACGGGTGAGGACTGCCTGGCAGCCTTAAGGAGACGGGTGAGGACTGCCTGGCAGCCTTAAGGAGACGGGTGAGGACTGCCTGGCAGCCTTAAGGAGACGGGTGAGGACTGCCTGGCAGCCTTAAGGAGACGGGTGAGGACTGCCTGGCAGCCTTAAGGAGACGGGTGAGGACTGCCTGGCAGCCTTAAGGAGACGGGTGAGGACTGCCTGGCAGCCTTAAGGAGACGGGTGAGGACTGCGAGGCAGCCTTAAGGAGACGGGTGAGGACTGCGAGGCAGCCTTAAGGAGACAGGTGAGGACTGTGAGGCAGTCTTAAGAAGACGGGTGAGGACTGCGAGACACCCCCGACACAAACCACTTGACCTGCTCTCTGACACTTTCCCCCTCAACTTAGTTGAAGGCTCGAGATCCTCAGGGCACGAAGATGCCAAGTTCATACTGTAATTTGTATAAGTGAAGAGAAGGCAATATTAACGTGACGGCCATGACTGCCATCACGCAGGTTATGAGACAACACAGCCGCTCATACGCCTTACTAAGACGGGTGAAGAGCAAGGGCGATGCTTCACAAACCACTGTGGCGATTTTCTCTTCTGAAGACATCGTTGATACTGTAAATCTAAGATGTTGTAAGCTCCTGGGGAAAGGTTTCAGGGTGTATATACGTTGCTCTTGAACATTCCTTCGTATTTCCGAATTAAAGTCATAATGAGCCTCATCTGTAAAATAATGACGTCTTTTATGATAAAAATATGAATTAAAATCTCTTTTGGCTCCATCAATTCTGAGATTTTTAGTAAATATCACCGAAACATCCAAAGTCGAAATTAATATGTTGTTGGTGATAGTAAGTCAAGAGGCTCCATATCTATCATGTTACGGTGAGCGTCGGGTGCTGGCCGAGGATACGAGCACCAGTAACTGTAGGAAGGGACGCAGCGACGACCGTTGAAGACCCGAGTCTTGGGACAAGCGAGTGTCACCAATTTTACACCATCTTTGCAAGCAAAATATTTCCGACACAGAGACGCTGGGTCGGCATAGTAGCCCGTGGGTCTCCCCACACACCCGTAGTGGTCAGTAGGTTTGGTGCAGGTGTGGGTGGAGGCCGGCACACACCTGCTGCCGTCGTAAACCTGACCTCTCCCACACTCGTACTCATACCTGAAACCACTGTAGCAATAAAAGTATTTTCGGCAGTTGGATAATACATCCTGGTAGAAGCCATTGCTTTTGTTCCTGCACGAGGGACTCCCTACACAGGCGAACTGATCTTTCGGCACACAATTTGCTCCGTTAAAGAGCTGCTCACTAGGACACGTGTAGTTAATACGACGACCTGAATGGCAGTGGAAGAAGCTCCGACAGCCAGATGTGAGATCGGGATAGTAGCCGTCGAAGCCACTACACTCATCTAGGGAGGCCGTTAGTGTCGTCGGGCACCTGTACTGGGCGCTGGAGACGCAGCTCTGACCGTTGAAAACTTCGTCTGGCGGGCACTGCTGGAAAACCTTCCGGCTGCCGTCGCAGTAGTAGTAGTACCTGTTTCAAGAAAGCAAATACTCTTAGTTCCTGGTTATAAGTGTGTATTCAAAACACTGTATAGCAAAGAGGTGAAAATGTTCTGTCTTCCTTTATAAAGACAGTGAATACGTGAAAATATAAACGGCGTCTTTGACAGAAGATAAGGCAGGTGTCGTAGGGGGTAAGACAGGTGACAGGGGGTAAGACAGATGACCTAGGAGGTGAGACAGGTGACACAGGGTAATACAGACGCCACGGGAGTAAGACAGGTGACACAGGAGGGTAAGGCAGATGACACGAGGTAATACAGACGACACAAAATATAATTCATATAACAAAAAGTAAAGCAGGTGACACAATAAATAATAAAGGAGACATACGAGGCTATTCAGGAAACAAGAGGCAAGGTAGCTTACCCTCGAGGCTAGACAGGTGACACAAAAGGCAGGACAGGTGACAGAAGGCAGGACAGGTGACAGAGAAGGCAAGCCATATTACATTGAGTTGTACGCAATTTGAACTAGGTGTGTTCAAACAAACAGTCTGTGTAAGCAAACTGCAGATTTAGGTAAACGACTAAAAGCAATCAGGTCTAGGTTGTAGACCCATGTATAATGAAAGAAAGACACTTCCACCGAGGACACATCTTGTGTAATGGTAGGAAACGCTTCCACTTAGGACACATAATGTATAATGGGATGAAGACACTACGATCGGGTACACTCCATCTTGGATTAGGGTTTGGTTATTTCAAAGAAAGCAGAGCTGGCATGCAGTACATGGAGTTAAGTCAGAATGAGAGACCGTGGTCAGTGGAGTACCCCAGGAATCTGTCCTGGGACCTCTATGGTCAGTGGAGTACCCCAGGGATCTGTCCTGGGTCTTCTATGGTCAGTGGAGTACCCCAGGGATCTGTCCTGGGTCTTCTATGGTCAGTGGAGTACCCCAGGGATCTGTCCTGGGTCTTCTATGGTCAGTGGAGTACCCCAGAGATCTGTCCTGGGTCTTCTATGGTTAGTGGAGTACCCCAGGGATCTGTCCTGGGTCTTCTATGGTCAGTGGAGTACCCCAGGGATCTGTCCTGGGTCTTCTATGGTCAGTGGAGTACCCCAGGGATCTGTCCTGGGTCTTCTATGGTTAGTGGAGTACCCCAGGGATCTGTCCTGGGTCTTCTATGGTCAGTGGAGTACCCCAGGGATCTGTCCTGGGTCTTCTATGGTCAGTAGAGTACCCCAGGGATCTGTCCTGGGTCTTCTATGGTCAGTGGAGTACCCCAGGGATCTGTCCTGGGTCTTCTATGGTTAGTGGAGTACCCCAGGGCTCTGTCCTGGGTCTTCTATGGTCAGTGGAGTACCCCAGGGATCTGTCCTGGGTCTTCTATGGTCAGTGGAGTACCCCAGGGATCTGTCCTGGGACCTCTATGGCCAGTGGAGTACCCCAGGGATCTGTCCTGGGACCTCTATGGTCAGTGGAGTACCCCAGGGATCTGTCCTGGGACCTCTATGGCCAGTGGAGTACCCCAGGGATCTGTCCTGGGACCTCTATGGCCAGTGGAGTACCCCAGGGATCTGTCCTGGGACCTCTATGGTCAGTGGAGTACCCCAGGGATCTGTCCTGGGACCTCTATGGTCAGTGGAGTGCCCCAGGGCTCTGTCCTGGGTCTTCTATGGTCAGTGGAGTACCCCTGGGCTCTGTCCTGGGACCTCTATGGTCAGTGGAGTGCCCCAGGGCTCTGTCCTGGGTCTTCTATGGTCAGTGGAGTACCCCTGGGCTCTGTCCTGGGCCCTCTATGGCCAGTGGAGTACCCCAGGGATCTGTCCTGGGACCTCTATGGTCAGTGGAGTACCCCAGGGATCTGTCCTGGGACCTCTATGGTCAGTGGAGTACCCCTGGGCTCTGTCCTGGGCCCTCTGTTGTTTACAATATAAAATAAATTCAGAAAACAAAAAAAACGCATACGGAGATCTAAACAACAGTAAAGGAACAGGTTATGAGATTAAGGATAGGGGCGGAAGGATTCACTACAAATGACAAGGAAGTGTGTGAGGAATTGAATAAGAAATTCCAGGAGGTCTTCACCTTAGAACAAGGAGAAATTCCAGAGGTAAGTGAGGGAATAGCTAACCAGGAACCACTGGAAGAGTTTGAGATTACCAGTGGGGAAGTAAGGAAGTGTTTACTAGAGTTGGACGTGACGAAGGCTATAGGCCCAGATGGAATCTCCCCTTGGGTTCTAAAGGAAGGAGCAAGAGAACTGAGCCTACCACTCTCCATAGTGTATAACAAATCACTGGCAACAGGGGAACTGCCAGATATTTGGAAAGCAGCTAACGTAGTCCCGATATACAAGAAAGGGGATAGACAGGAGGCACTGAACTACAGGCCAGTGTCCCTAACCTGCATACCATGCAAGCTGATGGAGAAGATTGTGCGAAAAAAACTAGTGGAGCATCTGGAGCGAAGGAACTTTGTAACACAGCATCAACATGGGTTCAGGGATGGCAGGTCCTGCCTCACAGGGTTACTTGAATTCTACGACCAGGCAACAAAAATAAGGCAAGAAAGAGAAGGGTGGGCAGACTGCATATTTTTGGATTGTCAGAAAGCCTTTGATACAGTGCCACACAAGAGGCTAGTGCGAAAGTTGGAGATGCAGGCTGGAGTGAGAGGGAAGGTACTCCGGTGGATAGAGGAATACCTAAGCAACAGGAGACAACGAGTCTGTGTGAGGGGTGAAGTCTCAGATTGGCGAGACGTCACAAGTGGAGTCCCGCAGGGGTCAGTCCTCGGACCTATACTGTTTCTGGTATATGTAAATGATCTCCCAGAGGGTATAGATTCGTTCCTCTCAATGTTTGCCGACGATGCAAAAATTATGAGGAGGATTGAAACAGAGGATGATAGTAGGAGGCTACAAGATGACCTGGATAGACTGAGTGAATGGTCCAACAAATGGCTGTTGAAGTTCAACCCGAGTAAATGCAAAGTAATGAAACTAGGCAGTGGAAACAGGAGGCCAGGCACAGGATACAGAATAGGAGATGAAGTACTTAATGAAACAGACAGAGAGAAAGATCTAGGAGTTGATATCACACCAAACCTGTCTCCTGAAGCCCACATAAAGAGAATAACGTCTGCGGCATATGCGAGGCTGGCTAACATCAGAACGGCGTTCAGGAACCTGTGTAAGGAATCATTCAGAATCTTGTACACCACATATGTAAGACCAATCCTGGAGTATGCGGCTCCAGCATGGAGCCCGTACCTTGTCAAGCACAAGACGAAGCTGGAAAAAGTCCAAAGGTATGCTACTAGACTAGTCCCAGAACTAAGAGGCATGAGTTATGAGGAAAGGCTGCGGGAAATGCACCTCACGACACTGGAAGACAGAAGAGTAAGGGGGGACATGATCACAACCTACAAAATCCTCAGGGGAATCGACCGGGTAAACAAGGACGAACTTTTCAACACTGGTGGGACGCGAACAAGGGGACACAGGTGGAAGCTGAGTACCCAAATGAGCCACAGAGACGTTAGAAAGAACTTTTTCAGTGTCAGAGTAGTTAGCAAATGGAATGCATTAGGAAGTGATGTGGTGGAGGCTGACTCCATTCACAGTTTCAAATGTAGATATGATAGAGCCCAATAGGCTCAGGAATCTGTACACCAGTTGATTAACGGTTGAGAGGCGGGACCAAAGAGCCAGAGCTCAACCCCCGCAAGCACAATTAGGTGAGTACAAGCTTCCAAAATGGAAGAAAGATTGGCAGATTCCGTTTAATGCAGGAAAAATGCAGGGTGCTGAGCCTAGGCAATAATAACATACTTGCAAGGTATCAGCTGGACAATGTTGACATCTTAAAGTCTGAATGCGAGAGAGTTCTCAAGATCATAAATAGTAGGGATCTTAAGGCAAAAGAATCAATGCCTGAATGTACGAAATAGAGCAAAGAGGATACTTGGACTGATTTCTAAAAGTGTCAGCAACAAGACATATAATATTGGTCCTTCGGCTTTATCATGTCCTTGTTAAGATCTCCCATCTAGATTAAACGGTTCACATTTTAGCCTCCGACTTGCCATATCAACCTAACCGGGCTTGGCGCCCTGGAGAGGACACTGCAGGCTGGACAACCAGAGCCCAACTCCATTAGTCTCCTGTGACTGATGGGTCCCTACTACTTTTAGCCTCCGTATTGTAGACTAGACATAAGTTAACTTGACTATTGAGAGAAAGAAGACAAAGGAATCACAAATCTCCGTTATGAAGTGCAATGAGCGACTTAATTGAAGTATTGCTGGATAAAACTGCAATCCAAATGGGATTTAAGTGAGGTTTTAAATATATCAACACAAAGTAAAAAAAATCAGAAGGATATAAGTTGCTATACAGTTTGGGATTCAGGAAAGACCTGGGTAAATACTGGTTTGGAAGCTGGTTTGTAGTCGATTTATGGAACAAATTACTGGGCAATATAATAGACCTTGGATCGCCAGGTTGTGTCAAGCGTAGGTTAGACAGATATATATGAATGAATTTGGGTGGATATAAAGAGTAGCTGTCTCGTATGGACCACTTTACTATATTCAAAAAGCAAACTGGCCAATAAAGTTTACTCATGAAGTAGACACCCAAACTACAAGCCTGAAAATAAAACAAATGACGACGTTTCGGTCCGTCGTGGACCATTTACACTGATAATGGTCCAGGGCGGACCGAAACCTTGACAATTCTTTTATTTTATATCTATATTTGTGGGCTGGTGCTTAACTTTATTTCTGTGTTCTTACCCACATGCAGTCACTGGTTCTTAGCGTCATACAATCACGCTGGTTCTTTACATAATTGTTCTTTTTACATAATAGGCTCACACTATCATGTAAACATAGGCTCACACTATCATGTAAACATAGGCTCACACTATTACGTAAACATAGGCTCACACTATTATGTAAACATAAAACTCACAAAAAGAATACAGTTACACATAAAATCCCACATAACACACACAAGGAAAAAGTCCTTTGTCCTGGCATTATCGTATAGTAAGAGCTTTGAGAGTGCAGGTTAGAGCAGAGTGGTGTGGTACCTGGTGCAGCCTGACTGGACGTCCTGGTAGACGCCGCCTCTCTGGCCGGAGGAGCAGGCCCTTGTACCAGCGGGTGGGCAGACGTAGGCTGAGGCCCTTACGCAGGCCGTCCCGTTGAAGACCATCTCTGGAGGACACTCAAGCCTGCCCACGTGCGCCCCGCCGCTGCACATGTGGTACTGTCGACACCTGCGGTAGGGACTTGCTATTAGTAACAACTAACAAAAAACAGATATTGTGGTTAAATATCTACGAGCAAATTTATGTTGTTTGAATGGCAAGACTTGTAGGTGTTGTTTGTTCTTTATGAAAGATGGGCATAATGTGCAGGTGTCGTTAAAGGCTTTTGGTCATTTTTATCTTATTATTAAATAGGAATGAACAGGACAGCGAGAAGAACAGTCACACACAGACGTAACTGATCTAAAGAATCACTATAATGTTTACATCTTAACACCAATTTGTAAATATATAAATGATGACCCCATTTGTCACTTTATTTCTTGATCTTCCAAAAGATGGTTTATGAGTTTTTTTTTAAGATTTTAATCTTCACCCAAAAGAAGATTTTTAAATAGTTGCATACTTGTGCAACTTTTTATGCGAAACTCTGTTGCTACCCAGTGAAAAAAAAGAGTCTTCAGACATATGTATATTGATCACATTGCAACACTTACCCTGTTGACAGGTCTTGATACAACCCATCAGCCTTTGCAACACAAGCTGTGCTGGCACCGGAGGGACACGTGAAGCTATGGTTTGGAACACATTTGGCGCCGTTGTGCAGCTCACTCTGACCGCAAGTACGGTACCACATTAGTGTCTTATTCCGGCACAGGAAGTGGCCCAGACACCCTCGGTCGGTGTCCACGACATTTCCATCTTTACGGTGATAGCAGATTGTTGAGGAAGGACAGAACACTTCTGAATCTGTCCGACACATCTTTCCGTCATGAAGTTGACCCTTCGGGCATGTGTATCGTAGCTTTATACCAGAAATGCATTCATAGTACGAGTTACAGGAATCTTGCAAGTCCTGATAGACTCCATCGCCTCGCAGTAGGCAATCTGTTGCATTTTGAACCACTGGACATTTGTATTCGTCTTCTGGCACACAGCGAATGCCATTAAACTTCTGATGAGGGGGACAATACTGTGTAAACACCTTTCCCTCGTGGCAGTAAAAGAAGCGAGTACAGGGGGAACTTTTGTCCAGGTAAAAGCCGCTGTGACCGGGACCACAGTGGACATCGCGGGTGTGTCGAGCAACCCTGTTTGTAAAGTTCCTAGGCTCCTGGGGACTAGCTCGGCCAGGGCACAGATACAGTATGGGATCTACACACTGTTCTCCGTTGAACACATGACTTCCAGGACACGTGTGCTCGCTCAGCTTGCTACCTCCTCGACAATAGAAAAATGTCTTGCAGCCGGTTTTCTCAACAGTATAATACCCGTCGATCTTTGTAGAACAGTCTGGGAGTCGCGGCCGTGAGGTACAGATGATATTTTGGTCGTCAACACACTCCCGCCCATTAAAAACTAGCCCAGGCGAGCATATGAAGGCACGAATAAACTGCTGGTGGCGACATAAGAAGAACCCACGACAGTCCGAGTCGGACGCCACATGAAAGCCGTCATCACGCCCATCGCAGGTCCCGCGACCCTCGCCCCAGCAGGAAAAGTTACTTGCTGAGACGCATCGACGGCCGTCGAAGACTTGGAGTCGCGGGCATTCCTCCAGCTTGACAAGGGCACCATTGAAACATCGGAAGAAGGAGTGGCACGGAGCGTGTGGGGAAGCATGGAGACCGTTGACACGTCCTTCACAGGCTTGCTCATAGCACACGGACGACGTGCTGGCCACACAACGCTGCAACAAGGTCATATATTTAGCTTTGGGGACACGAGTTACAGCTGTTCTCGTACAGATCATCAATATCCCGTTCAATAACCTCTGTCAGTCACAGTTCTAGATATACAGTACTCAACCCTCGACCCACCGCTTGTTGTGAAAATTTCAAATAATTGTATTTGTCACATAACAGAATATCTCACCTTGAGAGAGTAATCAAATATAGTATTGTAAGGGCAGACATGATCGGTTCTTATGCCGTCGCTGCAGGTGAAGTAAGAGGTGCAGGAGGAAGCAGGTGCTGGATGAGGCCCATCGGGGAGACCCCAGCAGGAGGGCGGCGAGCACACTAAGCTGGGACCTTTACCACAGGACCCCGTGGCAGAGTCCCACACAGCCCCGTCCTCACACCACCAGGTCCCTGACAAGCTTCCGTTGTTGCACCTGAAAACAATCACTGTGTGAGACAAGCAGCCACGTTAACAGGTCTAGGCTTTATGCGTGTACAACGTGAGGATCTCTTACCACTCTACATAGTCGTAGACGCTGTCGAATATTAATTTGTTGTTTCATGGACTGATGGGAATGAAATATATATATATATATATATATATATATATATATATATATATATATATATATATATATATATATATATATATATATATATATATATAAGAAACTCATAACAGTTGACACGTCAACAGCTGCAGGTATTGTCAGGGGCAGTAATGTGACACGTGACATGTTCACCTATATATCTATATCTGTAAAATAGCATGTTCGTCTGTCTGTCTTTTCTGTCCAAGGTTGGAGACCAGGCGCTTGGGGTTAGCTTCACGCAACTTTGTAAGGAGACTGTTGGGTGGTAGGGGACTGTCATGCACGGATTGGGCCAGGCCCCATAGACCCCTTGAGAGATAAAGAGAGAGAGACAGACAGACAGGCACAGATAGAGGCCCGGGCACCCCTGGATACCCTTCTAGTCTAAATACATAAGAAACGTTCATTGTAAATAACCATATATTTGACTGTCAAAATGGTTCATTTCTGTAAACACAAATTTGTGAAAACATAGCTGTCTGGTATCTCTTGTAAAGTAGTTATTTAGCAACATGTAAAATAATACGGGTGGTAAATATGGTTGGAACCTTGGCAAGAGATCTTGTAGACACTGGCGCCCTTGACATTAACTTTATTTAAAATGCATACTGACTCATTAACATTCCGGCCGTAGTGGGACCTCATGCTCACCTAGTTGTGCTTGCGGGGGTTGAGTTTTGGATCTTTGGTCCCGCCTCCCAACCGTCAATCTACTGGCGTACAGATTCCTGAGCCTACTGGGCTCTATCATATCTACATTTGAAACTGTGTATGGAGTCAGCCTCCACCACATCACTGCCTAATGCATTCTGTGACCCCACATGGGTGACTCCCCACATGAGTGACCCCCACATGGGTGACCCCCACATGGGTGACCCCCACATGGGTGACCCCCACATGGGTGACCCCACATGGGTGACCCCGCATGGGTGCACAGTCGGTAATTAAACAAGATGTTGGTCACGTCTTGAACTGCTCACGATGATCATATAATGAAGTCATTTACTATATATCTGATCATAACCTAGATGGCCCAATAGATAAATAGATATCCCTAGTATATATATATGTTAACAAACATTCATATAGTGGTGTTAACTCATCACAGACGACGGATGATAACTGTGTTGATAACACGTATTTTGAGGATTAATTTGTAGGGAGAGTCGAACCCGGCGGCCATTACTGACGGCACTCCTCATGTTCACAGCTTTTCTTCTTAGAATAATAATTTGATCAAATTCACTAAAGCTAATTCCATTGATATACATATATTAACAATACTTATGAGACATTAATGTCATTTTGTAAACTATGCTATACCAAGATAAAAAAAAGAAAGCTGAATGTGGTGAAGTGGTTAGTTCCCTCACTCCTTCAGCCTGCAAGCAAGGTGACCCGGGTTCGATCCCTCTGCTTGATGGGAGGATTACGCATCGATCCTTTGCTCGTCCTGCGTGTTCAGTTAGCGGTAACTGAACACGTAGTTGAAGAACAATTAGCGAATCATGTTCTTGGGGAGAGCGAGCAATATAAAGCTACAGATGAGCTGTGTGCTGGAGAGCTCTTTGCCTCGGAATAGCCAGAAACAACAGTCTGAAGAATCAAGCTCCTGCTCCCTCGAGTGTAAACATAGCAAACACTTCACCAAGCTTTACGGGTTATTCATGCCTGTGCCACCTCCTGGTCGGCTTAATCTTAATCAATCCTACACCAAGCTAGCAACAAGTTCCTTAAGCTTGCACACCAATATTAAGAGAAGCTTTCATGACAATCTTACAAGCAGTAATGATAATATACAATAAATATAACAAATACAAAGTAGTTTCAAATACATAGATCACTGATAACACATAGATCACTGATAATACACATAGATCACTGATAATACACATAGATCACTGATAACACATAGATCACTGATAATACACATAGATCACTGATAACACATAGATCACTGATAAACACATAGATCACTGATAACACATAGATCACTGATAATACACATAGATCACTGATAATACACATAGATCACTGATAACACATAGATCACTGATAATACACATAGATCACTGATAACACATAGATCACTGATAAACACATAGATCACTGATAACACATAGATCACTGATAATACACATAGATCACTGATAAACACATAGATCACTGATAATACACATAGATCACTGATAATACACATAGATCACTGATAACACATAGATCACTGATAATACACATAGATCACTGATAATACACATAGATCACTGATAACACATAGATCACTGATAATACACATAGATCACTGATAATACACATAGATCACTGATAATACATAGATCACTGATAAACACATAGATCACTGATAACACATAGATCACTGATAATACACATAGATCACTGATAATACACATAGATCACTGATAATACATAGATCACTGATAAACACATAGATCACTGATAACACATAGATCACTGATAATACACATAGATCACTGATAATACACATAGATCACTGATAATACACATAGATCACTGATAATACACATAGATCACTGATAACACATAGATCACTGATAATACACATAGATCACTGATAATACACATAGATCACTGATAACACATAGATCACTGATAATACACATAGATCACTGATAATACACATAGATCACTGATAACACATACATCACTGATAATACATAGATCACTGATAAACACATAGATCACTGATAACGCATAGATTACTGATAATACATAGATCACTGATAAACACATAGATCACTGATAACGCATAGATCACTGATAATACATAGATCACTGATAAACACATAGATCACTGATAACACATAGATTACTGATAATACATAGATCACTGATAAACACATAGATCACTGATAACACATAGATCACTGATAAACACATAGATGACTGATAAAGACATGCAACAATGTAATAAAATAAGGGTAAGAGGGAGAGTGTTTGGCTGACCTGTAGTAAGCCCTGCAGCCGTGGGTGTAGTCGGGGTAGTAGCCACTGGACTGGTTGTGGCAGGGCGGGGAGGTGGGCGGCAGCGGTGGACAGGTGACCTCCCCGGCCGGCCGACACTCCTCACTCCCGTAGTCAAGGGCCTCTCCGGCAGGACAGGAGTACGAGTACACTGCCCCGTCCAGGCACCTGCCGAGGAGAAAACCACCTCATTACCTCCAACAAAAGGATGAAAGCCGGTTATCAACCCCCCCCCCCCTCGTTGTCATACATTTGATTGCTAAGGATCACCTCCTGTTGTCGGTATATTTTTTTATGAGAGTGTAAGGCACTGCAAATCAAAGGAGTCCAGACAGCCATCAGCAGCCAGGTACCACCAGGTGACACTGAGATGTTCCAGACCAAGACGGAACACCCAGCATACTGCTCCGGCCATCATTCCATCCCACGTACGAGATGGGTAAGCCGCAGTGTGTTGCAGTTCTCTAATATACTGACTCTAACTATTTTCCTGAAATATATCTTCTGCATACATTTCTCTCTCTCACGCACACAACCACCCCCACAATGCAGCCCGTAGCGCTGTCCAGCTCCCAGGTACCCATTTACTGGTGGGTGAAAGGGAACATCAGGGGAAAGAAACTGCTCAATTTTTTTTATTCGCCCGGGAATCGAACCCGGGCCTCTAGGACTACGACCCACGAGCGCTGTCCGCGAGTGTGTATAGTGTCTAGGTATACATTGAACATTGAATCTTTGGAGACTAACTGGGTTAAGGATCATGTACTGTCTGCCCAGAAGTTTTAAGGTGAGTACAGCGCTCAGTTACACGGAGAAACATGACTATCCTTTAAGTTTGAACGAGTGGAATCACCTTGAAGACCAAGGAATGTGCCGGTGTATTGCTAGACTGTTGCAACAAGATCGCTGACCAAGTATAGCCACGCTAGAAGCCTTTCCTCATGGCAACTTGTGCAACCCAACACAGTCTTAGCACCCCTGTACTAAGTACCAGCCACTACAACCATCTGGACGGCGCGCCACTTCCAGCAGCTATGCGTCCCTGCTATACAGAGGCTGGCCAACCGTTTAGTAGTAGCAGCAGAGAATGGTCTAACTAGTAGTTGGAGCAACAAGTAACAACACCTTTGTAGTTGAATTAATTAGCAAGTATAGTGACCTCAAGATAACCTCACCTGCAGTAGTGCCTGCGTCAGTAACCTCACCTGCAGTAGTGCCTGCGTCAGTAACCTCACCTGCAGTAGTGCCTGCGTCAGTAACCTCACCTGCAGTAGTGCCTGCGTCAGTAACCTCACCTGCAGTAGTGCCTGCGTCAGTAACCTCACCTGCAGTAGTGCCTGCGTCAGTAACCTCACCTGCAGTAGTGCCTGCACCAGTAACCTCACCTGCAGTAGTGCCTGCGTCAGTAACCACACCTGCAGTAGTGCCTGCGTCAGTAACCTCACCTGCAGTAGTGCCTGCGTCAGTAACCTCACCTGCAGTAGTGCCTGCGTCAGTAACCTCACCTGCAGTAGTGCCTGCACCAGTAACCTCACCTGCAGTAGTGCCTGCACCAGTAACCTCACTATAGTGACAACAGGTAGTGACCTCACCTGTAATAAAGGGAACAGCCTGATGCCAGGTCGGGATAAACTCCTTCTTGTCGTGTCGTACAGGAGAAACTCTTGAAGTTCTTGAGTGCCGCTGAGAACTGAGAGGACCTGTGTCCGCCCTGCATGGTCTCCTGCAGCGACCTCAGCAGGTGCTCCACCGACCCGCCGCCACATTCCTGCCGACACAAGATCATGTCACCATCGTCATGAAGGATACAATGGAAGGAGGCGTCTGACGCAGGACCGCTAGAATGTACATAATGGGAATAGTTAAACATCATGGGCCTGATTTTTTATACATGTATTGGCCATAAATATATCCGTGTTTGTTCCTATCAATAAAGGGACTAATATAGTCAGATAGTTCAGCCCGTTCTCCTGATCTGCCACAGCGTACAAAATACAACGTTCTTACCTAAACAGAAACGTACGAACTGACCTACCGATCCATAGAAAACGTAGATATTTGAGAGCCGCTACTTCAACCCAAACTATTACAAAGTACTTTGTATTTTGACCATTGGGACCGTAACGTACAAAAAGAGTCGTACTAGTGGAGAGGGACGGGCTGTTGATGTCATGGGTCACCATCACCGCACCCAACTAGACGTTTATCTCGGCCTAAACGTTTACAATAATATTATGCACTTGTTCTGTAACACTTGATCTTATTTCTTCTGGTCTGGTTGTGACCCCCATCCAGAGTTGTGTGTATATCTTGAGGCTCTTCATGCTAACATTATCATTTATGTATCTCTGTGAGTACTTATTTATGTGTCTCTGTGAGTACTCATTTATGTGTCTCTGTGAGTACTTATTTATGTGTCTCTGTGAGTACTTATTTATGTGTCTCTGTGAGTACTCATTTATGTGTCTCTGTGAGTACTTATTTATGTGTCTCTGTGAGTACTTATTTATGTGTCTCTGTGAGTACATATTTATGTGTCTCTGTGAGTACTCATTTATGTGTCTCTGTGAGTACTTATTTATGTGTCTCTGTGAGTACTCATTTATGTGTCTCTGTGAGTACTTATTTATGTGTCTCTGTGAGTACTTATTTATGTGTCTCTGTGAGTACTTATTTATATGTCTCTGTGAGTACTTATTTATGTGTCTCTGTGAGTACTCATTTATGTGTCTCTGTGAGTACTCATTTATGTGTCTCTGTGAGTACTTATTTATGTGTCTCTGTGAGTACTTATTTATGTGTCTCTGTGAGTACTTATTTATGTGTCTCTGTGAGTACTTATTTATGTGTCTCTGTGAGTACTTATTTATGTGTCTCTGTGAGTACTCATTTATGTATCTCTGTGAGTACTCATTTATGTGTCTCTGTGAGTACTCATTTCTGTGTCTCTTTGAGTACTCATTTCTGTGTTTCTGTGAGTACTCATTTATGTATCTCTGTGAGTACTCATTTATGTATCTCTGTGAGTACTCATTTATGTGTCTCTGTGAGTACTCATTTCTGTGTCTCTTTGAGTACTCATTTCTGTGTTTCTTTGAGTACTCATTTATGTATCTCTATGAGTACTCATTTTTGTGTCTCTGTGAGAACTCATTTCTGTGTTTCTTCTGGTGTGTGTTTCAAATTAGAATTGAATTGATTATTGCTTACACTGATTATTTGTGAGTTAGGAAGAAGTTGTTGAAAAGAGAGAAGCTCGACGATGGGGCTGCATGTTCTAAACCAGTCTGACGTAGGTGGTGTAGATGGATCTAAATGTCTCCTTATTTAGGCTCTTGAAGCGTGTGTGTGTGTGTGTGTGTGTGTGTGTGTGTGTGTGTGTGTGTGTGTGTGTGTGTGTAGTGTGTTTACTAGTTGTGTTTTTACGGGGGTTGAGCTTTGCTCTTTCGGCCCGCCTCTCAACTGTCAATCAACTGTTTACTAACTACTTTTTTTTTTCCACACCACACACACACACCCCAGGAAGCAGCCCGTGACAGCTGACTAACTCCCAGGTACCTATTTACTGCTAGGTAACAGGGGCATTCAGGGTGAAAGAAACTTTGCCCATTTGTTTCTGCCTCGTGCGGGAATCGAACCCGCGCCACAGAATTACGAATCCTGCGCGCTATCCACCAGGCTACGAGGCCCCCACACTGTGTGTGTGTGTGTGTGTGTGTGTGTGTGTGTGTGTGTGTGTGTGTGTGTGTGTCTTTGGGAAAATTAATGTACTGTTCCATTAGAGACGTCAAATATGCTGATTGTCAAAGTTGGGTAATAAAAAGTTGCAATTCATCCCAAGACAACAAGGCAAGTGAAGAAACAACAACAACAAAAACCCATCGACGATTAACAAGTCAAGGTGATCCTCTACAATGTGAACAATTCCCACCCACCAATTTCGAGCTGATATCTTGTCATTTTTCCAGTCAAATCAACTCCTGTTTGGAAAACCAATCCGGATCCAATCCGGATCTAAATCCTGTTTTGGTTCATTATCCAAGAGAGGACAAAAAAAAAAGAGAGTAATATGTAGCCTTTAATGAGGGTTCGTTTGTCTGTAGCTGTGCTTGGAGTCTAAACTGTGGTGGGAAGTTGAAGTTATGGGTGTGGCTGTGTTGGGGTCATAAGTCATGTGTGTGTGGCTGTGTTGGGGTCATAAGTCATGTGTGTGTGTGGCTGTGTTGGGGGTCATAAGTCATGTGTGTGTGTGGCTGTGTTGGGGGTCATAAGTCATGTGTGTGTGGCTGTGTTGGGGTCATAATTCATGTGTGTGTGGCTGTGTTGGGGTCATAAGTCATGTGTGTGTGGCTGTGTTGGGGTCATAAGTCATGTGTGTGTGTGGCTGTGTTGGGGTCATAAGTCATGTGTGTGTGTGGCTGTGTTGGGGTCATAAGTCATGAGTGTGTGTGGCTGTGTTGGGATCATAAGTCATGTGTGTGTGTGGCTGTGTTGGGGTCATAAGTCATGTGTGTGTGTGCTGTGTGGGGTCATAAGTCATGTGTGTGTGTGGCTATGTTGGGGGTCATAAGTCATGTGTGTGTGGCTGTGTTGGGGTCATAAGTCATGTGTGTGTGGCTGTGTTGGGGTCATAAGTCATGTGTGTGTGGCTGTGTTGGGATAATAAGTCATGTGTGTGTGTGGCTGTGTTGGGGTCATAAGTCATGTGTGTGTGTGGCTGTGTTGGGGGTCATAAGTCATGTGTGTGTGTGGCTGTGTTGGGGTCATAAGTCATGTGTGTGTGTGGCTGTGTTGGGGTCATAAGTCATGTGTGTGTGTGGCTGTGTTGGGGTCATAAGTCATGTGTGTGTGTGGCTGCGTTTAGGGGTCATAAGTCATGTGTGTGTGTGGCTGTGTTGGGGTCATAAGTCATGTGTGTGTGCGTGGCTGTGTTGGGGTCATAAGTCATGTGTGTGTGTGGCTGTGTTGGGGGTCATAAGTCATGTGTGTGTGTGGCTGTGTGGGGTCATAAGTCATGTGTGTGTCTGTGTTGGGGTCATGTGTGTGTGTGGCTGTGTTGGGGTCATAAGTCATGTGTGTGTGTGGCTGTGTTTAGGGGTCATAAGTCATGTGTGTGTGTGGCTGTGTTGGGGTCATAAGTCATGTGTGTGTGTGGCTGTGTTGGAGGTCATAAGTCATGTGTGTGTGTGGCTGTGTTGGGGTCATAAGTCATGTGTGTGTGTGGCTGTGTTTAGGGGTCATAAGTCATGTGTGTGTGTGGCTGTGTTGGGGGTCATAAGTCATGTGTGTGTGTGGCTGTGTTTAGGGGTCATAAGTCATGTGTGTGTGTGGCTGTGTTTAGTGGTCATAAGTCATGTGTGTGTGTGGGTGTGTTTTGGTCATAAGTCATTTGTGTGTGTGGGTGTGTTGGGGGTCATAAGTCATGTGTGTGTGTGGGTGTGTTTATTGGTCATAAGTCATGTGTGTGTGTGGGTGTGTTGGGGTCATAAGTCATGTGTGTGTGTGGCTGTGTTGGGGGTCATAAGTCATGTGTGTGTGTGGGTGTGTTGGGATCATAAGTCATGTGTGTGTGGGTGTGTTGGGGGTCATAAGTCATGTGTGTGTCATAAGTCATGTGGTGTGTGGGTGTATTGGGGTCATAAGTCATGTGTGTGTGTGTGTGGTGTGTTGGGGTCATAAGTCATGTGTGTGTGTGTGTTGGGGTCATAAGTCATGTGTGTGTGTGTGTGGCTGTGTTGGGGGTCATAAGTCATGTGTGTGTGTGTTGTTGGTCATAAGTCATGTGTGTAGCTGTGTTAGCGACATAAGCTGGCATGTGTAGCTGCCGTGGGTACACTTTCAAGTGTCTATATATAAATTCCTGGTGTGAAATTGCTTAATTCACTCATAGAGTATACGACTATAAGTGTGTACCGTTTATGGTGTTTACACATTGAAAGTTTACCAGGACAAGGGTACACTCGCTGGCTGGTGAGTAAACTTGAGTCAAGCCCTCACCTGCCTACCAGAGGTTGATAGACCAGACTCCAAACCAAATTGTTCGATGAAAGTTTCAAGACAGCACTGTCCATCCTGGCCAGCCTCTCGCGAACCCTACGTCGCATTTTGACGTAGAAATCCTCCCTTGAGGCCAGAAAGCTGATGGACTGAAACCTGACAGCGGCTCGCAAAAAAATTGACGTGATGTCCCGTTTTCTATTCGTGGGTGCTCGGTAAGGTTAGGTTCGGGCAATTTCGTACTTCAGTTTAAGGGACGTTGGTAAAACGGGTCGAGAGGACGAGGTGGAGCAGTCAGGTCACCGCGGGAACATTTGCTAAATGCTCACTTAACAAGCCGCTGTCTCCCTGTTAGCGATGAAAAACATTTTATATTTAACTCAAAAGCTGTCCTCAGGTTGGGCTCGTCCAACAGGCGAACGACCCCATTGAACCATTCCTCAGTGTTTAACGACCTGCGAATTCAAAGTTTGCGTTTTCTCAAATATATGTTAATATTATTACATACTGTAATATATTAAATAGTTAGGCCTAACTTAGGTTAGGTTCTGTTTGGGATTTGTGGGTTTTGCACAACCTGTTGTGAGGCTAGGCTCGCCCAACCGGCGGGCCTAACATGCTGTCATTCAAAATAGGAATTTCCTCATATACAAATGAATATTATTATATATTAGCATACAGTGCATATTTAGGCATTGGTGTGGTCCGGTGTTTAGGTTCTGTTGGCGATTATTTGTATTTGTAGTACGTGGGTGAAGCATTTACAGCGTT